GTGCGGCTCCAAGCTGTCTGTGGAGAGCTCGGATGGGAGGCTGAGTAACGGCGACTATATCAATATGTCCCCTCGGGACCCCCAGCACGGGCCCCAGGCTCCCTCCCTCACTCCCCCTGACTTCTTTTTCATCCCTTCGGGGCACGGGTCCAGCGAGCCCCACAAGCCCGGCTGCTATTCGTACAGCTCCTTACCCCGCTCCTACAAGAGCCAGGGCCTGGTGAAGGACAGCGACCAGTACGTCTTCATGAACTCCCCAGGGAGGATGATCCCGGAGGAGGTGGTGTGCGGAGCAGGTCAGTCCCCCGCCAGCACCTTCGCCCCTTCCAGCCACACGGTGCCTTCGCCCCTGCGGCACAGCCGGACCGAGAGCTTCCTGAGCCAGAGGTGCCAGCGGGCGGCCCGGCCCAGCCGCCTCTCTTTGGAGACCTTGCGGACGATGCTGCCCAGCATGAATGAGCACCCTCTGCCGCCCGAGCCCAAGAGCCCCGGCGAATACATCAACATCGACTTCGGGGATACTACTGTCTATTCTCCCCCCTCGCTGCCCGCCGACAGCCCGGCCTCCTCCCTGGGCTCGGGCACGGGGCAGAGGCGCTCCCCTCTCTCTGACTACATGAACATTGACTTTGGGTCCCAGTCGCCCTCCCAGTCGGGCACGGTCTCGGTGGGCTCCCTGGAAGCACTCTCGCCAGGCTCTTCCTCCAGCATCAGCCAGCCCGATGGGCGCTACCTGAAGGCGGCTGTGGGGGTGGCTTGTTCGTCCAGCCCGTCCGACGGTGGGGATTACACCGAGATGACCTTCGGCATGGCCACCACCCCACCCCAACCCATCGTTCAGAAGCCAGAAAGTGCCCGGGTCACCAGCCCCACGGCTGGGGTGAAGAGGCTCACCCTCTCTGGGGTGGAGGCTTTTATTCTTTCCAGCCCTCCCCCAGACCCGAACCGGGGGGCCAAGGTCATCCGGGCCGATCCCCAGGGGCGCAGGAGGCACAGCTCAGAAACTTTCTCCTCCACCACCACTGTGACCCCCGTGTCCCCCTCCTTCGCACACAACCCCAAACGGCACAACTCGGCCTCGGTGGAGAACGTGTCCCTCAGGAAAAGCGAAGGCCTGGAGGAGGAGCAGGGGAGCAGCCCCATGTGCCGGGAGACCTCGGCTGGCTTCCAGAACGGCCTCAACTACATCGCCATCGACGTGGTGGACGGGACCCTGGCAAACTGTGACAAAGCCAGGTCGAAAGCCAGGCACGTCCTGAACGGGGGCATCAACGGAGTGGAGATGAGCGCCTATGCCAGCATAGACTTTCTGTCTCACAACCTGAAAGAAGCGAGTGCTGTGAAAGGTGAGTAGCTACGTCTTGACAGTGCCTGCCACGCGTGTCTGTGCTTAGTGTTCGTTTCTCACCGTGGGGTTGTGTTTTGTCGGGTAGAGCACTATCCCTCCTTGCTTCCTGAAAAACTTCTTTTCCCCCAAAACGTCCTGTAATAAACAGTCTCGGAGGAACTCGCTGGCTCCTTGTATGAGAAAAAGTTTAATTTGGGGATATTTCTTCACGTTTGAATTCTGCTGTGCTATTATTATGAGTGTATACTTCTGGGTACCCCAATAGAAGCTAATGTTTACACAGTTACTATGTTTGGGCTGTACTTCAGAGTTTTCTTATGTAAGATTTTGGAAAGTGCTTGGAAAATGTGACCAAAATAGTTTATGTTAATGCAGCTTCTAAATACTATTTAAAAATGTAAAATGATTGAGTTGAAAAACAGGATTGTTGGACTGAGGACATCAGATTACAAAAAAATCCTTGGCTGTCTAGCTGGGAAGGTCAATCATACCAAAATGAGAAGGATAAATTTAATATCTTGGTTTTGAAATACCTTATCTCTTGCAAAAGTTTAACAATAAATCATGGTGAGCATGGAATGTGAATTAAAAAAAAAAAAAAGAAAATTCTTTCCAGAAGTCACCATATACATGAGCTGTTGCATGTTGTATCGCACATTTCACGTAAAGGCCCACCCTATGGTGGTGTGTAACTATGTTCCAGCTGGCAGCTCAGTCCCAGCGTGAATGACCAGTTGGTTGGCTTGCTTTTATATGGATTCCAAATGCTGGGTGTTCAAAGACAAAAGCAAACCGAAGAAATCTGAAACTTAGGGTGAGAGAGAATTTCGGTTTTAATTATGTAGCTGTTCCTTTGTTGAGGTGCTAGTTATGCTGTTTAAAAAAAAAAATACACCACCATCATTGCCCCCCCCCCAAAAAAAAAAAAAAATAGCAACCCGCCTCCTCTTATCGAGTGAAAATTTCTACGCAACTGGGGGCTGGTTGAGGAGGGCAGAGAACAGCCAGTCTGTCAGGGATTAAAAGTTAAACGATGAGGCACCGTAGGGATTCTCTTCGCCCTTGAATTTATGCAAGACGTGGTACTTCAAACCCGTATGCGTATATAGCTGCAATACATGTTCGTGGGTCTAGCGAGGTGAAACGACGTACCACGTCCAAGTAGTTGCGTGGAGGTGAACAGGTACTGCTTCTGCATTCACAGGGCTGGCAGAGGCCGTCAATGATAAGCAAAGAGCGACAGTTTGCAAGAGCCACTTGCAGGGTTTTTTTTTCTTGTTTTCTTAGTAGCTAGTTGATTTTGAAGAAGGAAATATTTTCTCTTTTGATAGGAAGTACAGGAAGATGGAAAAGATGGGAGATCCACCGTTTGCAGAGCAAGCTTTGCACCTAATTAAGACGAGAGGATTGTTGAATGAAATGTCAGAGTTTGAAAGGGTTTGAACGCTTATTCTGAATGGCTGGAAGGGTTGAGGGCAGAGCGTTATTTGTCTGTCGCTTTTGGTTTTGCCGGGGTCGCTTTCAGGATCCCCGTGGCTTGACCCAGTCCCGTGCGGATGCTGCGGGTCCCGCTCTCCTTGCCCAGCCGCGGGATTGCGGTCCCGGGCACCAACAAAC